AACGTTAGCCTGTGGGAGCCATTTCAGAACTCAACCTCCAGAGCTGTAATACAGCCAGACATCTGTTTAAATATTAAACGGTTAAATATTAAACTGTTAAGGCTGACATTTGCTCTGATCATGGCCCAGGAACACAATGAAAAAACAGCCATCCAGGAAGCAGAAACAACCAAGTTCACCTACTTGGTGATTAAGGGTTTAAGAGTCCCACTGCGGTTCTTTCACTCTGTTTCTTTAGCAGAAAACTGTTGAGATTTTCTTTAGAGTTAAAGAACAGGCTGAAGATGTGGCTCAAGTGCTAAAGCCTTGCATGTGGTACAGCCTTGCATGCAAGAGGCCTTGGGTTCAATCACCCACACTCCATAACACTCACCCTCAGCATCAGTGAGAGTGGCCCCCACAAGAAAAACAACAAAATAAAAGGATTTACAGATTAACAGTGAGTGAGGACTTGGCAAGGGCAGCTGTGGCTCTCTGTGCTACTTAGACAATCCTTCAGGCTTCCTGTATACTCAGTCTACAGTCACAGAGCATTATAATAAGGAACAGCTAATTTTTACCAAATTATACAATTGCTAAAAACAAAAACAAACCTAAAATATATTTACAAATGGAAAATTCTTGCATTCTGGAGCCAAGGAAGAAAGAAACAATTAGTCCACTGAATATTTCAACTGAAGGTTAAAGGTTTGAAATGAATTATATAAGAGATGCACCTTGCTTCTCTGCTTGCTTTAGTCCACAACTTGAACTTTCAAGTTCTTCTCTAATATAGAAATTAACAAAACCAGCTCCTCTTTTACTCCACCATTCATAGTTGGCCTCTCATTTAAAAAAATAATAATAATAAAGCAAGGTTTCCTTTTCACATCAACATAAGCTTGTGTGTACCCATCCCCCAGGCACAGGAGAGGGAGGCCTGGTATGGAATTAATTTGCTCCCAGTCACACAACAGGTATCAGCTTAAGTCTTAAGGTCCTGAATCTGTTAAGCATCATTAAAAAAAAAATGGCTCAGCAGCCTCAGGATCATTGGGATTCCACTCACATCCACAAAAAGACTCTGAAGGGTGGATTTCATTATAGAGACTAGCCAATTAGGCATACTGTTCCCTGCAATTTGGTGTGTGAGGTCTTCACATAATGGGAAGAGGCTCTTTAATTACACATTATACATCTGTTGTTTAAATAGGATTGAAGAGATACCAGACTCAATTCTTTAATAAGGTTGGGACAGAATGAGGGGTAGACAAGGCAATAGGTGTGCTGAGTTCCCTATGCTCATGTCTTTTATGATTCATTAAATGACACAGTTCCCCGTTCCTGCTGAAGCCTTGCTGATAGTCAGAAATCTGGAGAGCAGAGTCCACACTCCACAATGGTTCAACCCAATAGGTCTTGTCCATCATTCGGGTTTTCATCAGTGTAATAAAGGACTACACTAGTTAGCTTCAAAGGTCACTTCCTTTTCTAAAACTCGATGATTCAGGGCCAGAACAATAGTAAAGCAAGCAAGGTGCTTGCTTTGCACACAGAAGAGCTGGTTTAATCCCTAGCACCTGGGAATGGCCCCAAAACAACCCAAAACAAAACAAAAACCCAAAGACACCTCTAATATCTTCTAACTGGGTGTGGCAAGAATGGAGTGGGGAGAAGCGCAGCCTGAACAGGTATGCAAATGCAACACTTGTCCTGACACCTCAAATGACCAGAGGCTCAAAAAAAAAATTTGTTTTTTGGCTTTTTGGGTCACACCCTCAATGCTCAGGGGTCACTCCTGGCGGTGCTCAGGAACCATAGGGGATGCTGGGGCCCAAAACCGGGTCAGCCGTGTGCAAGGCAAATACCCTGCCTGCTGTACTATCAATCCGGCCCCTCAAATTTATCTTATTAATCCAACTGGTTAGAAAACAGGATGATTCCTCTCCCATCCTCAGCAACATTCAGGTGCTCAAAGAAACACAAAACCTCACTTATTAGACCCACCATTTCCTTGGGAGCTCTCACAACCTATGTTATAAATATGCTGGTTGTCAAAACTTATCATTATCCTACGGATACTGATGAGCTGAGAGTAACTAGGTAAGGAAACAAAGGATTATAGAGTGAAATTGCCACGGTCACACTACCAAGAAGGCCCTTCCGGAAGTCAAGTATTGGTCTGCTCAGGGGCTGCCACAACCACCAACAAGGTAGATCAAAGGAAAGAAACTTACTCCTCCTGTCCCAGAGCTCAGAGTCCAAAATCAAGGTGGGGACAGGTCTGATGTCTCCTGGTATCTCTCCCTTAGTTTGCAGATGGTCGACTTCCTGCTGTAAACTACGTAAGGTTTCTCCTCCAGACAGGTTCCTGGTTTCTCTTGCTCTTCATTTCTTTTCTTTTTTTTCTTTTTGTTTTGTTTTTCGACCATACACAGCAATGCTCAGGACTTATTCCTGACCCTATGCTCAAGAGATCACTCCTGGAAGGCTCAGGGAACTAGGGAACTAGGATCACTCCTGGAAGGCTCAGGTGCCAAGGGATCAAATCTGGGTTGCTGTGTGCAAGGCAAACACCCTAGTTCATATGCTATTGCTCAAGGCCCTCTCTTCCTCTTCTTTTAAAGACACCAGTCATATAAGATTAGGGTCCCACCCTTATGATTTCATTTAACGATAGCACAGCAGTAGGGCGTTTGCCTTGCACGCAGCCAACATGGCCGACCCGAGTTCGATTCCTCCGCCCCTCTCAGAGAGCCCGGCAAGCTACCGAGAGTATTCGATATGCCAGACACAGTAACAACAAAGTCTCCAATGGAGACGTTACTGGGCCCGCTCGAGCAAATCGACGATCAACGGGAGGGCCTTTACCTTTACCTCACCATTTTTTCAAGTCTATCTCCATATATAGTTATAGTCAAAGATTTTTTGAAAGTGAAGATGTCAGGACAACAATATTTAAATTTTGAGGGGACAGAATTCAGACTTTCACAACGCTATAGGGGTAACCCCAGCATGTTCAAAATTTTCTGTTCTTTACAAAATTCTCTCCCCCTATACCAGCCCCCATTTAACAGTTCATGAAGTAAACAGTTGTTGGCAGAGGATACTTTTCTTCTTCCTCTTTTTCACAGCCATTTCAATTACTTAATCAACTCTCAAAGGCTGAGAATTAAGCAGCAATTAGTAGATATTAGGCCTGGTCTGGACAGCTTCTAGCAATTTACCCCCGGGTTCCCATTTACCAAATATTCAGAATCAGAGATGCGTTATGTAGTAGGTGGTGGGTCAGAGAAAGGCCAGGAGAAAAATGGAAAGAGAAATGTGCATCTATGCCAGAAATGCTTCATCATTGGTTGGTCTCCATTCCTTGTCAAACATTTCCTGTATTACAACACATCAGATTAACAAACATAAGCAAGATGGAGGTGAAGCTGTTCTGAAAAGAATCTTGGTTTCCTATGAAAATTCAATTTCATCTTTCTGGCAGCACACTAGCTACACAAATCCTCCCACACAGACCTATGAGCCCTGACTGACATTTCAAGCATTCTATCTCCAGATGCGTTTGGATGTTTGGTAAGCCAGAAAAAAAAAAAGAAAAAAGTTCTTTTTTTTTTTAATTTTTTCATTATTTCTCCAATCATTAACTGTCTCCTGATAGACCTGGGGTTTTTGTTGTTGTCAGTTCTAATTCACATTACCCAATCAATAATGATTTATTGAGCATCTTCTATGTACCCAGTATATAGGACTGGGGATAAGATGGTGACAGCTGCAAACTTGCTATTCAAGGAGACAGACATGTTCTAATATTTATTTCACTTCTTTGTACTGGGAACCTAATATATTGTATATGGGAAAGGAAAATTATCTCCACTGCTCACTACAAAAAAGTTCATGTGACAGTTCAATGTAAGGGTCAGGTGACTAGAAGTCCTGTCACCTAACTTTAGGGGGGTGTACACTGAGGATCTCAACCTGAACCATTAAACTTAGATTTTAAAAATCCTTTAATATTTCACTAATCTCTATTCTTCAATTATATACTATACATAAACACACAACCTCAGTATGAGCAGCATTTACTACTGTCACCAACAGAAATTAATTTCATTTTCTTATAGGTGTCACCTTGAAATACTGTTTGTGCTTAATGCTACTTCAAAGTCATGGTTGTTATTAGAGCTATGTTGTTGTTTTTTTTTACCGCATTGCCCCTTTTCTCCCTAACATAGCTATATTACTACATCATGCGGTCTTTCATTATTTTGACAAGTACCCTAGAATCGCTTCCTTTACATTACCTTTATTTGTTCTGAGAAGGGGTCCTTAAATTTTCCAGAATTGCTAAAAAGGTAAAATCTACACAAAAATGGGTCAGAACACTACACGAGAGAGCAATGACATCCCAGCCAGATGCAGAGGCTCTACTCGCTGTATGTTTGCACAAGTGGTGAAGTCGGGATTTCCAGAATTAAAAGAGAAATGAAGAGGAAAGGGCAGGCACCCCAACTCCCCCCCGCCCTCCTTTCCCACCCTTCCCTCTAAGCGCGGGCCCAAAGTGCTCAGCTGTTTCTTCCAGCCGCCGGCTACCCCTCGAGGGCCCCCCCACTGTGTCCCACGCGCAGGGTCGGTGGGTAACCGTGTCCCCCACTCCCACCCCGGGAGACTAAGCCCCAGGACGCCCCTGGGACACGCACTCCACCAGCGGACGGCGCCAGAAATCGCCCCACACCCCCGCTCCCACCAGGGTCCAACACGCCGCGCTCCCCGCCGCTGGGTTTCCTAACTGCCTTCCACGCGCCCGACTCCGGGAAGGGAGCGCTGGGGCGTCGGGGAAGCGGAGCGGGCTGGTGTGCAGCCAACTGGAACCCGGGACACCCGGACCGAGAAGTCCGGCGGCGGGAACAGGGCCAGTCCCCAGCCGTGGAGGCGGCTCCTGGCCCCCGCCCGACGCGCCTCCCCTGGCCCAGTCCCGCTCTCGGCCCCGCAGCCTCCCCCGCGCCGTTGCCGCTTACCGCGGGGCCAGCGAGACTCGGGCTTCAGGCTGGGGCTGCAGACTCTGAGGCTCCGGCCCGGGCTCGCGGCCTCGGCTGCGGCCCCGCCCGCCCGCCCGACCTGCCCCCCGACGGAGGCGGAGTGAGCTTGGCTGCCCGCCGAGAGCTCGGGCAAGGTCCGTCGCCGCCCGCCGCGCCCGAGACCCAGCGCGGGCGCACCCGAACGGGGAGCGCGCCCGGCACCGAGTGAGGGGCGCGGCGCCCGCCCGCCGCGGAGCTGCCCACGGGGCATGTTCGGCCCAGCCCCCGCGTGACAGCGAAGGGCACCGAGGCCAGTTGTCACTTTCCTGCAGCCCCAACCCGCGCCGACCGCGTTGCATGAGTGGTCAAGGACGAGGCCTCGACGGGGCGGAGCCGGGGCGGGACGGGGGCGGGACGGGTCCGGAGGCCCGGCTGCTTTCCTACCCAGACTCTGCGGTGTTGGTGTGGACACGGAGGACTCGCTCTCCCCCCGTTGGGGCGCACCCCTGGACCCTTATACGTGGAGCAGAGAGGCCGGAAGACTGGCGACGAGGTGCGCGTTGGAGCCGAGCCTTTCCCGGACGCGGGCCAGCCCGTATCAGTGGTACCAGTTCTAGTCCTCCGGCATACTGCCCAGCCTGGCATTTTTCTATCAGCAGCAGCCCTGCTGGATAATGGGGGTCTCCGTTATTATCGAAGCTTGCAGCCCCTCTTTAAAATAAACCCGGGGGCGCCCCAAAGGTTTATTGCAATTTTAATGCTTTTTAATAACTTGGTTGTGAGTTAACAAAGTCTCTTCCCCAAATGGCTCTTAAGTGTAATTACTTCTGTTTACGTTGATTTCGTTTGTGAGTTTAAGCCTAGCTGCTTCTGTTAAAATCCCCGTGAATACCATAGTTACCAAAGCAGACTGAGGATTTATTGGTAACACAGCATTGCTTTTGTGACGTGATTTTCTCAAATGGTAAACAACTCAGGCAAAGAAGCACTAGATTTACTCAAAGGTGCATTCCTAGGAATATCTGTTTTAACACCATGCAAAATGTGGGAAATGGGGACTGGAGCAATAGCACAGCGCGTAGGGAGTTTGCCTTGCACGGGGGCAACACGGGTTCGATTCCCAGCATCCCATATGGTCCCCTGAGCACTGCCAGGGGTGATTCCTGAGTGCAGAGTCAGGAGTAACCTCTGTGCATCGCTGGGTGTGACCCAAAAAGCAAAAAAAAAAAAAAAAAGTGGGAGCTGTACTCTAGCAAAGCAACCACTGTGGTAACATTGTATGACTAAATCCCAATCATGAACAACTCTGTAACTGTGAATCTCACGGTGATTCAATAAAAATAAATCAATAAAAATAGGCAGTTTACCAAAAAATTTAAAATATAAAATGATTTTTAAAACATGCAAAAATGTGAACTTACAGTTAAACTTTAATCTAGCTTGTTTTATCAAAAATGCAGTTTGTTGATGCTTGAATGAGGCGAGAGAAAAGACAACAGGACACTTGCCACTTCCAGCAGTCTGGCAGAGCAGAAGTGGCACCCACTCCCTCTCCACACCAGTGATGATGCCCCAACCACCTTGACAAATGAAATGCCCCCTGGCACGCACACGCACACACAAATACATTGCCAGGTCTGCACAGACAGACATCACTCAGCCCCTCTCTTCCCACCCTCCCTAACCTGGCTTAGATGTGGAAAACACAGTCTCAGCAGAATCTTAGAAGGGACAGCTTGCCAGGAAGTTTGAAGTTGGGGTTAAGGAATCAGATTCAGAGTTAAGACATGTCCTAGGCAGATCCTAGGAATTTATACATGTATTCATTCTATATTCTCCCCTAGGACCTCTCCTTCTCCCATGAAGACCAGGAATATCCCATGAGACAGGAAGAGTGAGAGCATCTCACTCATTTATTCACGTGTTCATTCTTTCATCTGATGGGTGCCCATTCTGCTCCCTGCCACCTTTTCATATACTGTTGAAAACCCAGACTCAGCCTCTACCCTTGCAGAGCTAGCTGGTGAGATGAGAAAGGAGATACCTCGTGAAGAGGTAAGGGAGGAGGTAAGAATGAGGGCTGGCATGAAGTGGAGTAAATCCAATTCCAGAGCATCTCAGAGAAGGGAAAGCAAAACTCCAGGAAGATAGAGGGGTACATAGCCTCTTCTGCAGGAAGGGTTGGAGACCAGAATGAGGGTATGGGAAAGAACTCTCTGGAGAATAGGAAAGGCAGGTCAAGCAGCTGCTTCTGCCGGCACACAGCTTTAACAGGATAGTCTGCTGTACCAGCCATGCACTCCATGCCTTCACCCCTTCTTGGCAGCAAATTTTATCTCAGCCAGCCAGGTTGGCACCAACCCAGAGGAGCTGTTGAAACTTGTAGGACATTGGAATGAGTGTTGACCAACTCCCTATGCAAGTACCCAGAGTATACAGCACCATGTTCACCCTGCCAGACCCCTGGGCAGCCTCAGAAGCAGAGTGTGGTATGCAGAGACATCATACTGTTTATGTATTGGGCCTACTTTAAGATGGCTTCCCGAGGCTGGAGCGATATAGCACAGCGGGTAGGGCCAACCTGGGTTTGATTCCCAGCGTCCCATATCATCCCCCAAACATTGTCAGGAGTAATTCCTGAGTTCAGAGCCAGGAGTAACCCCATGTGCATCACCAGGTGTGACCCCCCCAAAAAAGCAACAAAAAAAAGAAGGCATTCCCAGGACTGGAGAGAAAGGTAAGGCACTTGACTTGTACACGGCCAATCCATGTTGTATCCGAGATAGTTCCCTGAACTCTTCCAGGACTGATTCCTGAGCTCAGAGCCAGGAGTAAGCACTGACGACCACCAGGTGTGCCCAAAAAGACAAAAAGGAAAAAAAAAGGAATCCCCAACACTTTCCAAATATGCTATTTTGTTAGTCATCTTGCATAGAAACAATTATAACCGTGTATAGGGTAGCAAATAATTCCCTCGTCTGTTACAATGAAGAGTACATTGCTTTACTGCCCAGCAGCACGGATGTGTATGAAAATGCTTCATAAGCCACACAGGACTCCCATTCAATCAGCAATCTTGGCTTGTGCTCAGCTGCTGCCATCTAGAAATTCCAAATAAAATTAGGGTAAATCTATTTCTCTAAAGTTCAGGGAGCAGCTTTTTCATGGGCCTGGGTGCTTGCCTTATATGCAATTGACTGGGGTTTAATCCTGTGCACTGCATATGGTACCCCAAGTCCTACCAGGAGTGATCCCTGAGCATAGAACCAGAGTAAGCCCTGAGCACTGCCAGATGAAACTCCAAAATAAACAGGACTGTGGGTAAGGGCCTTGGAGCTAATCGCTGTCTGTGGCCACTGCTCAGTGTGGCTCCATCCAACATCTTCCCTCTTTCCCAGCCCCATCTATATGCTAGCAGACGGCCTTTCTTCTCCGTTTCTGCCCCTTTGAGCCTTTGTCATGGTAACTTATTATTCCCTCTAATACAATGCTATCTAGCATAATGAATTAACTCTCCAAGAAAAGTATAAACCCACTGAAGGCAGGAACTGTGTATTCTTCATCTTGTTCCCACACGCTTGGTCTTTTGCCCATTACAAGTATGCTGGGTACCACAGAACAATTCTCTAGGCTGTTCCACCTGTGGGGTAACTTGAAAGTTTCTTGGATGATTTATAGTCCATGACCACCACAGTTGACCCCCAGAGCCATGGTTAGTGCTGATCTTTCTTCCTTCTCCATCATCCATTCTAACTCCCCTTCACCTCAGTTCTCATTTTAGCAGGTTTTGATAATTCACCTGTTATGACTCAAACCTTTATTCCCGAAAGGTCAGAACACTGATAACCAGGCCTAGTGAGAATGAACTGCTGTACATCTGTTCCATTGTAATATAAAGGGAAACGCCCCAATGAATCACCACCTCTCACAGCTCACCCCCGGACAGCGTCCTTCCTTCTCTTACTGACCAGCAACAGCTGTACCCAGAAGAGGTGTGAGGCTGACCCAGACTCATATAGGTGCTTCTTTTCTGAATTCTGAGATTAGTTGGTATGGAAATACAAAAAGTCCTAATAGCTTTATCTTGAATATAAAATATTAGATATTTCATATTAACACAAAAATTCAACATGCTAAAGCAAGCTAAAAGTCAAGGATAATATTAGATGTTTATAGTAGCAATACACATAGGCTTGTTAGGGTTAGCTCATCAATATAAGGATATAGGTGGTACTGTAAAATTTTTGTGAGAAACAGGAATATTAACTTAATAATCAAATTTCACGGGAAGCCATGAAAGCCCAGCACAAAGTTTTCTCAAGCAGCCTTGTACAAGAAAATTGCTCAGGATTCAAACCATTTGGAGGGGTCTCGTGACCCTGTCCTCTTTTGGAAACACAAGTTTAGAGATCCTTACTTCTCCCAACACTGCACTTCACAGCTCTCTCCCTGCTTCTGTATTTTCTCACTTTTTCTTGTGTTACTAAAGGACTGATACTCCCTGGGCCATAAGCCTAAAACATATTTCCAAGTCAGTAACTGGCTCAGTCAGTGAAATTCTCCAAAGTCCCTGTCTAGACAACAAGTTTTCCCAACCTGGACAATCTCTCACTAATTATCCTTTGGGCCAGGTGAAATTAAAAATACAGAGCACCCAGAAACTCTGCCCACAAGAAACCTTTAGCTAGGAATAATTTTCTTAAAAGAGGATTCTAAGCATGGCTGATAAAATTGTGACCGGAAAAGGTTATTTGTGTATCCGTGTGTTGGAGGGTTGGGGCTTGGGGATGCAACAAACTAGAAAACTCATGAAGATTAGAAAACTATATTATTATATTTTTATACATAGTATTAAACCTTATCAAATATTTCACATAGGTCATATTTTCAAGCATCTCACCAGAGCTGGGGAGATAGCACAGCAGATAGGACGCTTTTCTTGCTCGTAGCCCACAGGGTTCAACCCCCCAGCACCCCACCCCATGGAGTTCCCTGAGCCAGTCCAGGAGTGATCCTTGAGCATAGAGCAAGAAGCAAGCCCTGAGCATGGCTGCATGTGTCCCAAAAACAAACAACAAAAGCAAACATCTCACTGTTTCAACATAAGTTTAAGCAGAAGCATATGCTCTGACGGAAGCTTTTAGATGAAACTAACATTTAAGTCAGTAAACTTTATAGCAGATTATATGGTGAGCCTTAATCAATCCATTAAAGGGTTTCGTAGAGAGAGGGGAAAAAAAAAGGAAAACCCTGACTTACCTGAAATCAAAATAGTCCTAGACTTTGAAGAACTAGAGAACCACAAGATGGCAGCATTGCCTAGCTGCACTTCAGCAGGCTATAAAACCATGAAATGCTCATCTGCAGTCTGCTATAAAACAGACACAGCTGTTTGTAAGCAGCCCATAGAGCCCATAGTTAATGGAGAACACACAAATCTGAACAGGAGATGTGGCATTGATAGACTCCCTGGCAATGTCAGAATTGAGAAATGTCTGCTGTCACAGTCCTCATGGATGACACTTATATAATCTAGGGTTTTTAAATCCTGTTACTTTGCTGGAATTACTTCAACTGTTCCTGGCTGTGAAAGTATAATACAAGTTCAGTGTAGCTAGATTATAAAACCAACTTCCTATAAATTTAAGGACATTTTCGGCACAGTAATCTGGAAGTCTAGGGGCCTCTCTTAGTGATACTCAGATCAGCTCTGTGCTTCACTGGTAATACAGCGATGAGAAGACCCAGTAGTGCTAGGGACCACCAGGGCTAAGCCTGGTGCTGCTACTCCTGGCAATATCTGGGGGAGCATATGGGATGCAGGGGATCAAACACCAGTGGGTCGCATGCGAGGGAAATGCACTCCCTGCTATAGTCCTTCTGGCCCCTGTTCTAGCGATTTTTAATATCCATATTTTTTTGTTTCAATCCCAACTCCTATGATTAATTTTATATAGCATTATCACTAGAGTATGGTAGCTCGATATTTGGTTGAATACTAGCCTATGCTCTCAAGGCAGTTTTTAGATTAAACTAAACGTTGGTGAGCCCCAATCATTCCATTAAAGGGTTTCAGACCAAAATAAATAAATTAGTCAATTAAATCACCTGAGGACGAGGGAATTCTGTCTCCAGACGGCCTTTGAATTCAAGCTTCAACATTTACTCTTCCCGAGTCTCCACCTGCTGGCCATTTCTGCAGACTTTAAAACTGCCAACCCAGGGGCAGGAGCTTTTGCCAGCATGCAGCCAATTGTGGCCCATAAACCAAACAACAACAATAATTAGGATTACAATAGTACAGCGGGGAGGGCATTTGCTTGCATGTGGCCAACCTGGGTTGGATTCCCATACCCCTGAGCATCCTAGGTGTGACCCAAAAAGAAAAAAAAACTACGAGCTCCCACAATTATGTATGTATGTGAGTTAATCCTTTAAAACCAATCTAACTACACATATACACTAGTGGTCGCATTCTCTGGAGAATACTAATTGAATCAAGAGAATACTAATTAGACCAAGCACCACTATACCATGGAATAAAAATATAAAAACATTCTTCATCTTGATAGTTGGGTACGTGGCTCAAGTGCTTCGCATGTGTGAGGCCCTGGGTTTCAATCCCTGACACAGCAGCTGCTTGAAGCACCATGATGTCAATGTGTGGTCCTGATAGTCTTCAAGCATCTCTAGGTATGGCCCCACAAACAACTTTTTTAAAAAAATTTTTAATTAAAGAATTGTGATTTACAAAGTTATTGGTAGTTGAAGTCTAGGCATATAGTATTTCAACATCAATCCCACCACCTGTATTGATTTCCCTCCACCCTCATCCCCACCATCTCGACAGGCACATTACAAAGTTCAGTGGTTGCAGCTTAAATCTAATGTTTTTGTCTTTTGTTTTTTCCCTCCGGCCCTCCCCCCTATCTGTTTTAAATATTGCTGAATCTGTGCTTTAAATGTATATATATATATATATATATATATATATATATACACACATATATATATATACAGAGAGAGAGAGAGAACTATACCATTCTCCTACATCATCACTCTAACTGAAGCCTGACCCCTCTTCTCCATTACTTCCCTTTCTCATCTTCTTTCTCCCCTGCCTCCCTTCTCTGTCCTCCTTTCTAAGCTCTGGGGTTAAGGGTGATCTGGGCATCCTCCCTTTAGTACATTACATTTCTTCATCCAGTTATTCTATCTACCACAGATAAGTGAGACCATCCTGTGTTCCCACAAATTTAAATATATATGGACATATCTATCTATTTCCATCTCAATAAACACACAAAACATGTAACCAAGAATGTGAGAAGAGGCTGATTACAGGGTCCACAATACTAACCACTGCATACTAAAGACTATGTATACTTGTATGCTTAAAACTTTCTCACTGAAGGATCAAAGCAGATGCCAAGATCTTCAAGTCTCTATACATCCTTTTTTTGTAGTCCACTGCAAAAAATGTTTAATATGCCTTTGGCTGTTTTCTTCACCACACCAATAAAAGTAAAGCCTAAATTAGGAATGAGCAGAACCTACCTGAGCGCAGTGTGATTTCCAGTCCTCTCCTTTAACCAGATGAGCACTGAAGTCTTCCAGAAGCACATCAGCAATCATGATTTAAAAAAAAAATCAGAACTACAACCTTTTCTTCATTTTATGATGAAGTGACAGAAAGGAGCAGCCTTCCACTATCTTTATTCCCAATAAATGGATTTTCATTAATTATTCTTTACAACTTTCCATTATTTTTATTCTCAATAGATGGGTTTTTATTATTCTTAATATGCCTATGAGCTACCTTTATTCCAAGTCAAAGTTTCATTACCCTTTCCTTTCTACTTCAATCTTAGCCTTCCCTTTTATTTTTTTTACCAATTTTACCTATTTTCTTTTCTTTCCCATAGTGTTCCTTTGCAATTTTTACAAGAGCTTTTTAAATCAGTCACTGAAAACTGTCTCCCCTAACGACTCTTAACAGTTCTGAAAATAAACCAACACTCACCCAAATTTTGATTTGAAAATTAAATGGCATCTGGCCTTATACATGCAAACATGGCAGAAACAATGTTTTGTTTGAGTCAGATTTATTTTGATTTGACCAAACAAATAAAGATTTAGTCAATCTACACAAAAAATAGTGAGAACAATAAACAATAAACAATAACTGTAAAATAGAAGCCATCTTTAAAAGGAAAAACCAAATAACTATTAAATATGTGTGCAGTAAGGTTTGGATGCTTAACGACTACTTTGGAAGAATTATAAAAGTATATGTGTATATATATGAGAGCACATGAATATATATGAATCTAATGAAATTTATAGATCCAGTTCTGGAAAACACATCTAAAATTCAATCAAAATGTCTATCCCTGTATGTCCCTCCAAAAGTCCTCCAGTGTCCTTCCCAGCGGTCCAAGGACTCCATCCCAGGTTACCAAAAAAAGTTAAACCTAAGTTATTCTAAATTTCTATAAGTAAAAAAATATCTATCTATCTATCTATCTATCTATCTATCTATCTATCTATATTACACCAGCAGTTCTCAACTGGGGGTTATATAGCTCAGAGTCCTTCACCTCCAATGCAGGATATTCCAAGAGGGCCAAGGTGAAAATGAGTCTAGGGGGTCAACTGCCAGGACAAGGTGGGCCACAGGGAGGAAACAAGACCTGAAGGGGGTGATGATCAAAAAAAAGACAAAGAAACACTGGGTTATAGACAGGGAACTTTGAAATTTCTATTGAACCACTAAAAATTGTAGCTTGGCTAGAGAGATAATACAGTGGGTAGGGTGCTTGCCTTGTATATGACCAACCTGAGTTCAATACCTGGTACCACATATGGTCCCTGGAAATGCACCAGGAGTGATTCCTGAGTGCACAGCCAGTAGTAAGCCCTGAGTACTGCTATGTATGGCCCCCCCGCAAATTAAATTAAATAAGCACACCCATGTGCTTTTAAAAAATTTAAAGAGTCGCCCTTATGCTTTTCCCAGAGAAAAGAATTTTATGAGGTAGGTTATCTCAAACAGAATATTTTCACACTTTATCACTTTCTATTTCTGAAATAGTGAGTGGACTTCTTCTCCTATGCGGGATTGCCATTTTAGGATGCAATCAACACAGAACATAAAGAGGAATAAAACAGCTGAGAAAGCACAGAAATGAAATTTCAGAAATACTAAACAGAAAAAGGGAACTACAGCGGTAGGGCGTTTGCCTTGCACGCAGCCAACATGGCCGACCCGAGTTCGATTCCTCCGCCCCTCTCGGAGAGCCCGGCAAGCTACCGAGAGTATTCGATATGCCAGACACAGTAACAACAAAGTCTCCAATGGAGACGTTACTGGGCCCGCTCGAGCAAATCGACGATCAACGGGAGGGCCTTTACCTTTTACCTTTACAAAATAGTGCTTGAAAAAACCACACTGCATAATTCAGTAACCTTTTTTATTATGTTTTTTCAACTGTTGAAAGTAGTCCTCATCTAATACACTTAAAATCTTGGAAAATGTAAACTTGGCATAGTTATACACCATATTCACCCAAAATCCTGCTGTAGACACAATCCATATTACATTCAACATCTGCACATTTACGAGTTCCTATTGCTAAGTAAATACAAACTCCTATCACTTTAGTTTAGTGCAGATATGATAGGTTTCAAAAGTAGAGAACATTTTTCAACCCCCTTCAAAAAAAAAAAAAACCCAGAGTACCAATTCATCATTTTACACAAAAATACAAAACTAATTTAAGTTTAGTCAGTAAGATATGTCTTGATGCTTCTGAAATACAGCTATAGTTTCAAATTTTAATTACAAAAGTGATGGTACTTCTGATTAATGGTTGACCTAAAAAGAGTAAATTTTAATACATGTGACTACCATATTAAAGTCTTCAAAATTTTAAAGAATAGAACCCTAAATACGTACCTTGCAATTCACTCAATAAACATGATTGCAATAGAGAATACTGAAGTTCAGTTAACCAAAAGACTTTTATCTATTTCCTGCCAGCTATCTATTTTCAATCTTAAATCTGACTTTAAACTAATGCAGTTTAGAATTTCAAAGATTAACCCAACAAGTTTTACTAAATAACTAAAATTATTCTCCATCCTTATAAATAACTAGACTTCTGGCATCAGAATGATCTGGGAAGCTCTTTAAAATTTACATGGTCCTCCCTAACCAGAACTAATGAATAAAAATATCCAAAAATGGGGACCAGCGAGATAGTATAGCAGGTAAGCTGTGTGCAAGGTGTTGCACACAGCTAATGTGGGTTTGATCTCAGGCATTCCATATGGTCCCCCAATACTGCCAGGAGTAATTCCTGAGTGCAGAGCCAGGAGTCAGCCCTGAGCATAACTGCGCTCCAGCCAAAAATAAAGAATACCCTAAAATATTATTTTAAGTTCCCAGGTGATGGTAAAACAAAGTCCGCTGTGGGAATCTCTGACATAAGCAGTTTGACTAGTAGTTTCTAACTGTTACATTACACAAGAATCAATTGAAGAAATTTCTTTTAAAGGAGAAATAAGTGTTTCATACTTTGAGAGTGGTACCTCTAATCCAGAATTTTATTCTTTTTTTAATATCTTGTCGGGAGGATGGGGGGTTGCAGCCAGGCAGCACACAGGGATTCTTGGGGGGAGGCAGAGATATGTGATGCTGGGGATATAACCAGGGTCAGTCACATGCAAGGCAAATGACTTAGCTTAGCTCCATACTATCTCTCCAGCCACAAGAAACTAGCATTTTAAATATTCATTGCAGTTGGTCTAGGAACCACTCTCTGAAACAATGTAAATTCTTGTGTGATTAAATGAGTTACATTCACTATTTTAGGTGACATCATTTGTCCTACAAACCCCAACTGATTCTGTCCTATGCAATAGTGTCTAACATTTTGCCTTTCCAATAAAAATAAATTTATATTCTTTATGAAGTCAAGTGAATTGTGAAAATCTTCATTCATTAAAGGGAAAGGTTTTCAAACAAATTATTTATACCTTAAATACATCAGATCTTAGCACTCAACTTGAATCTAATGCCCCTTCCTCATTAAGATATGTGATTAGAGGTAGTAATTCCAGCTTACCAAATGTGTAATTCAGATTATAAAATATATACATTCTAACATACAGTTTTACAGGTTCTATACAATCTCTATATAACAGAGATTGGAGAACAGCTGGATAGAAAATACTTAAAACAGTAAATAATATACTCAATTTTAAACTATGGAATGTCATATTTCCTGCATACAATAAGTTTCTACAGAAAAAGAAAAAAACATAAAAGGTATCATGCTGCCTTTTTTACAAAGAAGGTATTTACTAATTTTCCACCATTCCTGTATTACCCATAAAACGAGTTGTTGGAGTACATTAGGAATTTCTTAAAGGCACAAAAAAAATAAGTCGCATATAAAACCACACAGCAAATAAGAGAATAATCAAATTATATGTATATATATGTATATATATATATTAGATCTTCCACTTGGATTACTGAGCTCATTATCTTATCAACTTTAACAAGTGCATCTCAATATATTACCAATTATCACAAATATTTACACATATTTGAGTGTGTGACAGCTCCACCAAATTTTAGAAATGGATATAATTTCCTTTGAATCCACATAATCTACATAAGAACTAAATAAACAACTGTGATTAGGTAGCAGACAATGTATAGGGTCAGGGTTCTATCTAGCTCACCTATTCTATGTCTAAGATGCTATTACTTTCCGGACACTCGCCTACCATGCTTTTCAGGAAGGCCTACACCATCTCTTTTCCAGGAGCATATGTGATTTAAGACTTAGCATTTCGTCTTAACAAACCAATCAAAAACAAATAGGCAAAATTCAGTAATGCATTGTCAGAAAAGGAAAATCATTTCATAAAGGAAGATATTGTGACTTTTAAATCCATATGAAGAGGTCAATATTTTCATACAAATTTTTAACCATTTTAGGGGATAGGCTATTAAATCACTTTCCAATTTATAAACAACTCAAGGCAAAATTAATGAAGTTTTAAATTAATACAGTGATACCAGCACTGCAATCTGTGCTAATTTAACCACATTCCACATTCAAGTGTGAGCCACACAGCATCGTCAACTAAGCTGAAAAAACATAAATATGGGACACTGTGTCTTTTACAGAGGAAAAAGGAGTTTCTTTAAAGGTTAAAATGAAAATATGGAGACACGGTACTCTGGGAAAGGAATTTCACAACAGGATTAATGTATAAGGCACTATATATTAACTTCAGTCTACATTTAGGTCATCTTGGACCCAGAGGATCTGGGACAGAAACATGCCCTGACACACTGAACCTTTATTCATGTCCTTTTAGCTGGTTTGGCAGTTAACTGCTTTTCTCTTTCAAATTCTTTCTCTCGTTGTTGCTCCCTTTCCAACTCTTCTTTTTGTCTCTTCTGCTGCAGCTTAAGTGCTCTTTTCTATGTCAAAAAAAAAAAAAATCCAAACCAAACAAATTAAAGATTCAGGTTATAATCTAATTTAATAGTACTTTGATATAAGTTATCAATATGTTTTAATAAATTTCATAGTAACTTATAAATTCATTCTTGATCATTAAAAATCTCCTTAATAACTCCCACAAAAATTATTCTAAATTTGTATTAAGAACTGCAGTGACATATTTCAAAAATACAAGCCGACTAGTCCAGCTATCAGAGGAGCCCATCATGCATTTCAAAAGAGTATTTTTCAGTGGTTGGGCTACTCAGGGATTACGCCTTCTCTGGGGTCCATATGTGGTGCAAGGAATTAAACCCTGTGTGCAAGGCAAGCACCCTACCCATGGCAGTATCACTCCAGCCCCCTCAAGAGTATTTTTTAACAGAAAACAATTAGCCATGAATTCAGTATGTCACCTTATACGACATTTAAAAGGTTAGAAAATGAAATCTACTTTTTCTAAACAAAGTTGAAGAATTTTCTGCTCACTTTCAGTTTTGAAGTCTTTTCATGAAGCATCAGCATCTCTTTTCTTATATTCACCAGCTTCGCATGATAATGCTTAGCTTCAGTAAACTGAACATGGAAAAATTAAATGGAAAGTAAAATTGAAATAGCAAAATTAAGTCAAAATATAAAAACAAAAAGGTAAGTCAATGCATAAGTCATGGCTCACTCTTCCTAAATTGGTTAAATTTTGTAAAGTCTTATTAATTATCTCCATATTTTAGTTTCTGAATTCAAATTTCATTTAAACCATTAAGATTTTGAAAACCTTTAGGACTTCGAAATCCATTAGGATTTCAATTCACTTTAGATGAGTTGCTAAACACACACACACACACACACACACAATATAGTTTATAGTAATATTTTGCTTGAAAAACATGCAACATGATATCCTATAATTCCTGGGAGATTATCCAATAATGTTCTCAATTTCATGCCTTGCAAGATGCCAACACTAGCTGATTCCAGGAACCAGTGGTCTGCTGAGCAGTGACAGCACTGCAGCCTGAAAGTTCCCAAGCACTGCCCAGATGACCCAGCACTATAGGGTCAAAGCAACACCACATCCTTGGGCCTTCACATTGGTTGGCCAAGAATCGCCAGGAAGGACCCCACAGCCTCTTAAGCTTCTCTTGCGAAGCCCCCCAAAAGACAAAAAAAAACCCGAAATAAAATAAAGACATAAAGACATAAATAAAATAAAGACTCCCTTTACAAGGGAGTACATAGGACCGTTTTAGTGAAACATCTGCCCATTAGGAAAAACCAAACAAAGGAGCTCTAAGAACAAGTTTGGGCGAAAGGGCGTCTGTGTGGACACTTTCCTTCTCCATGAAACAAAAATGAGGTAGGTGGATCAGTAGAGAGATTAGTGGCCTTCGGGAGGCAGTTGAGTTCCTATCTGATAATCTCTTTGGGGAGGGGCTTTCAGTTCCTAAATAACACAAACGCCTAAGGCTGAGAGGAGACTAAGTTTCTGCCCCTTTGACAAGCAACAGTACTGATTCTGTCTGATTCATTCAGTCATCATTCAGCCATTCAACAAATACTTATTTGTCAACTCAGTGGGGAAGACAAACGTAGTCAGTGTAGTCTTTGCCCTGCTTCACAAGCCTGGAACTCTTTAGACAAATTTATTTCCTACAGCCTGTTGCCTACTACTAGAAAGCATGAACTATACTTTTTATTATTGTGAAAAATATTAGCAGTGTCACTGTAGCACTGTCCTCCCATTGTTCATCAATTTGCTCAAGCGGGCGCCAGTAACGTCTCCATTGTGAGACTTGTTACTGTTTTTGGCATATCAAATACACCACAGGGAGCTTGCCAGGCTTGGCCGTGTGGGCAGGATACTCTTGGTAGCTTGCCGGGCTCTCCGAGAGAGATGGGAAAATTGAATCTGGGTCAGCCACATGCAAGGCAAATGCCCTACCCATTATATTATTAAGTTATATTTGTCCTTGGGCTGGAGCAATAGCACAGCAGGTAGGGAGTTTGCCTTGCATGCAGCCGACCCGGCCAACCCGAGTTCAATTCCTCTGTCCCTCTTGTAAAGCCTGGCAAGCTCCCCGTGACATATTCAATATGCCAAAACACAGTAACAAGAAGTCTCACAATGTTACTGGCCCACTAGAGCAAATCGATGAACAACAGGAGTGCAGTGCAGTGCTATATTTGTCCAATTCTAGGTCAATTTTCTAGTCCAGAGAGATAATACAGAGGTTAAAGAACTTGGCTTCCACTTGGCTGACCATGGTTTAATCCCCAGCATCACTTATGGTCCCCCAAGCACAACCATGAGTGACCCCTGAGCACAGAGGCAGAGTAAACTCTAAGCACCTGTGTACCCCAAACTCTAAGCACCCCCAACCCAAAATAAAAAGAAAGGAAAAAAAGGCAAGAAAATACATAGCAAAGTCAAACTGCTATGGATACAGCTACCTAGGATATACTAGGACCCAAGTTTGAACGCTAACATCAATTGATTGCCTAGCCCCTGTACTGCTGGTACAGCTCTGGAAGCATCCCCAGCACTGCATCCTCGACCTGTTACTGAATCACCCAGGTTGGTTGGCTGAGCATTGTTTAGGAACCCACCCATTCCCTCCCCAAAATAGCTGATTTTCTGAATTTTCTGAGGTATGTTTCAAAATCCACAAGTTCCTTATTTTTGTTAATTCTCTTAAAGAACCAGTTCATCTTTTTTAAAAAAAAATGTAGAGTTCCAATAAAATTCAACTATTGTAGTTCATAATGAAACAAGTATGTGGTCTTTCACAAAGGGTCTATTTTACTGTTAACTTGATACAGTATTATGAACAGGCTATACAATTAAATAAAATGGGAATGCGTGCAAGCATGTGGCTAGCTAAAGCCATCTTACTTAATAGCTGCTGTTCAGCAGCTGGTGCACTTCTGCTTCTCTGTTGGCAAGAAAGACATTCATGGCTCAGGCTAGCAAGCAGCAGTCACAGTCCCAACACTGCACAGATGAGTCAGACTCAAAGACAGGGGCTATTTGCAAGAAGGAGTGCAGGGTTCACTATGTCAAAGGATGAATGATTCTAGGAGTGCTAAAGGCTCTTCCTCATCTTTGTCCTCTAACCAGCAAACCAAGAAAGGAAAAAACAACTTCAAGACTGAGGGGAGTAAAGTTTTTCCAAGGAAAACCTTCAAACTCCTCCCAACCAGCACCAAGAGAATTAAAAATAAGCAGCTGGCAGACATCATTTCTGAGCTTTCAGCTCACTGCAGTGCTGGTCTAACATCTGTGAACAGAGATCAGCTGCTCTAGGGCCTCCAGAATCATGTGGGGGTGGGGGGAAGTGAAAACACTTTTTCATTAAATTATTCCTTCAATGTTTCAAAGATTGTATTTTGAAAAGAATCTATCACTTCAATTGGTACTCAAGGAATTGGTAGCTTGAACATACTGAAAAGTTGAAGTACAGCACAAACTATTCCAGAAGTCCTCCTTCCTATCTGCTCACTTCTTCTGTTTTTATTTGGGGGTCACACCCGGCCGTGCTCAGGAATCACTCCTGGTGGGCTCAGGAAACCTTAGGGAATGCAGGGAATCAAAGCTGGGCCAGATGCATGCAAGGCAAACACCTTACTCTCTGTACTCTCTCCAGCACCCTCTGCTTACTTCTTATAAACTAATTCTGCTAACTCCTTTGTGGAAAAGTATGACCCTTGGTACATGGTCAACATAAATAACCGAATGGTCAGACAGTGGATCAAGAGCTACACTACATAAATGGGTTTTTCACAACTCTTACATTATTTGCCCATCACAGAGAAAGCTGTTTATGATTTCAATAGGGGTCACAGTTGGCAATGCTGGGGGAGAAGGGAAACATGGTACCAGGGATCAAACCCAGGATCTCACACATGCTCAGCATGTGTTCTACCCTTGAGCCATAGTCTCAGCTTGGAAATAACTTTTAAAAATTAAGGGTGACTCAGGCTATTGGGAGAATTTGCTCCACATACTGATAGAACTGAGGTTCCTGTTTACACACATTCAGGTTGCTGATTCCTGAGTTATCAACTTGTTTTATTTTTTATTCCCCACCACATTCCCATCCCCTCACTGTTTCTGATGCTGCTGTTGTTTTGATGACCAGCTGCACATGGTAGGGCTTACCTTGTGCAGCAGGGTTGCACATTGTTGCTGCGTTCACACACTTGGCCCCGCACTCCTGAGATATGCACTGCTTCAGCTGCAGGGCTTGCACACAGGCTCACAAGGGTTTACACTCTTACTGGAGGTACACAAAGTCATAGTGCTCACTGGGGATCACACTGTGCTGCTGTTATGTGAACTCACCAGAAGTTATACTTCCTGGCTGTGGTTCTTATTTATCTTTCTAGTTGTGGGGCTTGCCACGAGCGTGGGGAGGGGTGGCACCCCTTTCAGTGGTGCCTACACAATCTGGCTATGGTGTGGCTGGAAATCACTTACAGCAGTGCTGGGTAACACAGAGCAGTCAGGACTTAGTTCAGCATATATGGACACTGGGGATTTGAACTCATGATCGTATGCTTGCAAGGCAGGCACTCAAGCCAATGCACTATTCCTGTGGGCCTTATTATTTTGAAAGTGTGGGGAGAATAGCACTAGGTAAAGAGTGGGATATTTATTATTATTCAGTCTTATTTCTTAATATTTGGGTTTTTAAGGTTGGTTTTATCTTGGGGGGGAGAGGACCAATATTCAGTGGTGCTCCAGAGAACGTATGGTGCCAGAAATGGAACCCAGGACTCCAACATGCAAAGCATGAGCTCAGCCCATTGTGCTATCTATGTTCTAATACTTTTGTTGAAACTTAAGGCACCTTGCTACAGAAGGCAGAATCATAATAGCAACATTTAGAACTCATAAAGTTCTGTAATACTAGCTAAAATTCAGTCAGAGAAGAATAAGCATTTGGGTTCAGATGCTTGCAGTCTAAATTTCAAAAAGCTTAAGTTTGTGCAAGTTACATTTATATATATGCAAGTTGGAAATGTACTTCTAAAACCACACTCCTTTGTTCTAAAATTAATTTCCCTTCTTAGAAGGGAACACTGATATTTAACAATTTGTAGACTACAATCTCCTGGATATAATAAAGTCAACACCCAGATAGTAGATACCACATAGGAAATTAATTTTATGTTTTCTCTTATAGACCAATTTCATTTACTGTGAAAATATTAGAGGTTAAAATCAGAATTTATGAAATTCTTCAGTAAAAATACCTTAACCTGTTAAAGTAAGGTGTGGAATAAGAGTAACTCAATGGATTAATTATATGTTGTGGATTACTTAAACCTGCATTTGTAATTGAGCTAAAAAAATATTGAAACAAACCACACACCCAAAAGAGGCCAAAATTAAATTGCTAATATTAATAAAACAAGTAATTGCTAAAAAGAGAAGCTTTTTTTTCTGTTTTGGGGCCAAACACAGTGGTGCTCAGGAGTTACTCCTGGCTCTGCACTCAGGAATGACTCCTAGCAGTGCTCCACTATGGGATATGGGATATTAGGGATCCATATGGGATCCCACATGGGATAGCACTGCACTGCACTGCACTGTCCTCCGTTGTTCATCGATTTGCCCGAGCAGGCACCAATAATGTCTCCATTGTGAGTCTTGTTGCTGTTTTTGGCATATCGAAAATGTCATGGTTAGCTTGCCAGGCTTTGCCATGCGGGTGAGATACTCTCGGTAGCTTGCCGGGCTCTCCGAGAGGGGCAGAGGAATCAAACCAGGGTTGGCCCGGGGTCAGCAGCGTGCAAGGCTACTGGGGATTAAACCTGGGTCGGCCATGTGCAAGGGAAACTCGCTATACTATCTCTCTGCCCCAGAAGTACTTTTCTTAGGAAAAAAAACGTACCCCCAGAAGTTCCATATTCTTAGCTTTTGTAAATTATTATAAGTAGATTTATTTCATTTTTTTATAAGCTCAAATTTCCAATCATATATGCAAACACTCAAACGATAACAATTTAAGACAATAAAAGAACATCAAGATTTCCTATTAAAACTTAAATTTTAAATTTTACCAATTACAAGATTTAAAAAAAATACATACATATATATCTATATATATAAATATATATGACTAAGTTGGGGAGCTGGAGCGATAGTACAGCAGGTAGGGCATTTGCCTTGCATGAGGCCGACTCAGGTTAGGTTCCCAGCATCCCATATGGTCCCTGAGCACCGTCTGGAGTAATTCCTGACTACAAAGCCAGGAGTAACCCCTGTGCATCGCCAGGTGTGACCCAAAAAAGAAAAAAAAAAAGAATAAGTTGGGAGAATAAAACTATAGTCAGTTCTAAAACAAACTGCCATTAAGCTGTATGAATAAAATCATACTTACCAATGCATTAATATCCAACATAGAATGACATTCCTTAAATTTTGAAATCTCTTGTTCCAGTGTATCTAGTAATATAACTTGGTTCTGTCTGAAAGAAAAACATACAGCCAAATAAACCTGACATACCATAAATGCTGAAATCATTTCATCTAGGTTCAAATGTTAGAAATTAACATTTGACTGAAATTAACATGTACTGACTTTCCAAGGTTTATTTGATAAAGCATATTTTTTCAGAAAATAATATTCCAATTTGCTAATAATCTGGCAATCCAATCTGCCTTTCCCCAATTTCAACCTAATAGCTAGTCAATTTTAATGTTATTTTATTACTTGTTATTTTGAGCAACTCTTTTATGCTGGAAACACTGAAGCCCCAGAGTAATAGTATAGCAGGTGGGATGCTTGCCATGCATGGTGAACTCAGCAGATTCGATTCTTGACAACGCATATGGTCACCCAAGCCCCCAGAAATGATTCCTGAGAGCAGAGCCAGGTGTAAGCTCCAAGCACAACCAGGTGTGAACGCTCCCCTCTTCCCAAAAACGTACTGAAATGTAAAAATGACAACAATCTCATAAAAGAACTGACAAACAATAACTTTTCAAAGTAGAGTTGGAAATACGTATTAGGGATTAGTCAAAAAAGAAACAAATAAGAATTAAAAAAAAAGACTAAGAATCATAAGGTTGCCTGCCCAGTTGTGAAATCTTAGAAACTGAGTTTATTTTCACCATAGAAACTGGCCCACATCCAGAAAGAACAAAAGCAACTGGTATTGGCGCGTATGTGGGGAGAAAGGGACTCTCTTCATTGCTGGCAGGAATGCCGACTGGTTCAGCCCTTTTGGAAAACAGTATGGACGCTTCTTAAAAAATTAGAAATTGAGCTCCCATTTGACCCAGCAATAACCACTCCTGAGAATATATCCCAGAGAGGCAAAAAAGTATAGTAGAAATGATATCTGCACTTGTATGTTCACTGCTGCAGTGTTTACAATAGCCAAAATTTGGAAATAACCCAAGTGCCCAAGAACAGTGACTGGTTAAAGAAACTTTGGTACATCTACACAATGGAATACTATGCAGCTGTTAGAAAAGATGAAGTCATGAAATTTGCATATAAGTGGATCAACATGGAAAGTATCATGTTAAATGAAATGAATCAGAAAGAGATGGACAGGCATAGAAAGATTGCACTCATCTGTGGAGTATAAAGTAACAGAATGGGAGATTAATTTCCAGGGGTAGTAGAGATAAGGACCAGGAGTTCTGCTTCACAGCTTGGAAACTGGCCTCACATGCTGGGGAAAAAGGCAGCTCAGATGGAGAAGGGAACACCAAGTAAAGGATGTTGGAAGGAACCAGTCAGTTTGAAAGATGTGTGCCGAAAGTAGATTATAGATCAAACACGATGGCCACTCAATACCTCTACTGAAAACTACAACACCCAAAAGGAAAGAGAACAAAAGGGAATGCCCTGCCACAGAGGTAGGGTGGGGTGGGGGGATGGGGTAGGATATTGGGAACATTGGTAGAGGAGACTGAGTTCTGGTGGAGGGATGGGTAAACTATTATTGTATGACTGAAATACGAAAGTTCGTAAGTTTGTAACTCACAGTGATTCACTATTAAAATTTTTTTAAAAAGAAATTGAGTTTATTTTTATGTAAATGTCTTCATTTATAAAGCAAAAAGGTCAGTCGAAGTAACTCTAAAGTTCCTCATCAAAACTGATTAAAAATCTACTATGGAGAGAAACCAATTTTCCTAATAATACTAATTCTCTTCATATCAATTAATGCTAGGATCACAGGATTGTAAGTGACACTCAAGGATCATAAAATGCAATATTTTAAGGAATATTATAAACAAAGTAAACATGATGTGATTTGTTTCTAAGACTACATTCGGAACAGTGAAGAAGAAAAAAATAAAACAGCAATGACAAAGCTGAAGGACAATTATAACATCCACATCAGGTTATAACTGAAACAAAAACTGAAAAGAAAAAAATACCAAATTACTAGTAAAATTTATGAAAGTGCAGTCATCATTACCAAATCCACCACCATTAAAAGGATAGCAAACGCTCAGCAATTTTGCCAATAAATTTAGTTCGATGAAAGACTGAATCCTTGAAAGATACTATCAAAACTTACAAAGGGAGACACAAATCCTTGAAAGATACTCTCAAAACTTACAAAGGGAGACCCAGAGCACCAACAGAAATGATTCCTGACCACAGAGCCAGGAATAAGCTCTAAGCACTATTGCATGTGCCTCTTTCCCCCAAAAAAGACATTGAATTAAAATAATAAAATGACAAATATACATAAACTATAGTTTTGGGGAGAGGGAGAGATGCTTCCCAATCTGTGCTCAGAAGACATTGGGGGCCCTCCTGGTGAGAGCCTGTTATTTAACTGCCAGGATCCACATATTTAGACTCTGTAAGACTTGAAGCTTCCTGGGCCAGGCCTATCAGTTGGGGCAGGACGGTGGGGGGTAATGTACCATCAGAAATAAAACAAGAGCCTTATCAATGTACTGCTGATCCCTGAAGCTATCTCCCTGGCTCTAATTATGTTCTCGGTCTTCTATACCCAATGTTAATTACAAAGTAAATTTTAATTTCTATCTACCACTCCTTAATCCCTGCAATTTCTATACTGGTAGTTTATAACAAAAATTAAACTGAAGACAGCTTCAGAATTGGAATCCAAATCCAGTGCAAATTGTGCACATGAATTGATTCCACTTCCATGGGTTCTATTTATTTATATAAAATGGGTCATCTCGCCATGGCTCCAGAGGCAAAAGGACTTAATCCAGAGCCCAACAGCTTGCAGCAGAAAAGTGAATGGATGCCTCCCCGGGAGGGAAAGGGTGTTCCTCCCTTCCGCCTCCCCCCCCCCCCCCCAATCCCGCCCCCAACAGCAAGGTGGCGACCGCCTTAGAACTTATAGGAAAGCCAAGTATGAGCTGGAGGTAACAGGGCAACTGCAGTCTCATGGGAAGGAGGGTACCAGCATATCCTTCACGCCCTACCAAGGTCACGAGTTGCCCCCACGAGTGGCTCTCTGGCACAGCCAAAACACCAGACGCACAGAAACCAATTTCGTAATGATCTGGCTCTTTGCAGAAATCCAAAATCATTATATGACATTATATGATTCTCATACCAGCTATAGAAAACAAAGTATTTCACAATGCCTTTTCAGCAATTCTGATTGTTGGGAGGGGGAAATTCTAAACAATAATGGTGCATCTTTTGTTGAAGTAATGAATGTAATCAATGTAGAGAAGAGTTAAGTAGAAATCATCTGCCTCACAGGCATTGGGAGGGGAGGTATATTGGGGGTTCTTGGTGGTAAAAAAATGAGTACTGGTGAAGGGAAAGGTGTTTGATCATTGTATGACCGAGACTTTAAACCTGAAATCTTTGTAACATTTCCCACAGTGATTCAATAAATAAATATAAGAAGAAAAAAATAAATAAAAAAGTAAGGTGGAGTTCATGCCCAATTCAATCAGCTAAATCAGTGGCTGAATAAATAGCAGTACTCCTACACACACACAAAAAAAAAGAAGGGCCATCTCAAAAAAGGGTGATTTAGCAATTTAACAGTAATAAAAGAATTTTAAAAGATTCTTCCAGACTCTCAATGGAGGCAATTTTTTTTTTCTTTTTGAGTAACACCTGGCAATACTCAGGGGTTACTCCTGCACTCAGGAATTATTCCTGGTAATGCTCAGGGGACCATATGGGATGCCAGGGATCGAACCCAGGTCAGTCACATGCAAGGCAAATGCTGACCCACTGTACTACTGCTCTGGCCCATGGAGGCCGTTTTCCAACTCCACTAACAAAACAGATCTACACCCACCCTGTGAGACTGCCAATAGGTGATACTTTCATAAAATAACAGTGAATACCAAAATCAACAACAGAATCTAAGATCTAGAGACACTTCTTTTCTTTTTTTTTTTTTTTTTTTGCTTTTTGGGTCACACCTGGCGATGCACAGGGGTTCCTCCTGGCTCTGCACTCAGGAATTACTCCTGGCGGTGCTCGTGGGACCATATGGGATGCTGGGAATCGAACCCACGTCAGCTGCGTGCAAAGCAAACACCCTAACCACTGTGCTATCACTCCAGTCCCTGACTAGGGATACTTCTTAAGCAGTCAATGTTACTTTTTACTACCTTCCACTGCCAGTTGCTATCTTTACTGAGAATATTTATTAAATATTACAAACTATTGTACTTGAATACAATGCATACACCTTTACTAGTGAATCAGACAGACTGTGCTAGAGGGGAAATGAGTGCCCTTCTGGTGTGACAGCTCACGTGAGTTCCTGGAGGGCTTGCTTGGATCTCTGCAGATCTGGCAGATAGTGAGAAAGCAATCCTTCCACCAGTTGCTCCACAGCTTTGTCTTCTACTGGCCCATCCTCAACGAGCCCTTCATCTGGAGAAGAGTCACTTAAACCTGTACCCAAGCAGAAATCAAATTTAGGAGATCAAATTGGCATGGAGGAAAGAGGGGAGGTTAGCAATGGGAATCGGTGCACACACAGAGATTAATACAGATATAAACTTTTATCTTCTGAATTTCCTCTCAAAACCAAATTATAGGTTACTGGTACAAGATAATGTTTGGGTTAAAAGAATAACATGAAAAATTCTGAAACTATACTTTAGGCAGGAGAGTTATAGATTCTGGGTCACTATTAAAGGAACCTAGGGGCTGGAGTGATAGCACAGAGGGTAGGGCATTCGCCTTGCACACAGCCAACCTGGGTTCGTTTCCCAGCATCCCATATGGTCCCCCGAGCACGGCCAGGAGTAATTCCTGAATGCAGAGGCAGGAGTAACCCCTGAGCATTGCTGGATGTGACCAAAAAAGAAAATAAATAAATAAAAATATATAAAGGAATCCAAAGACTAAAAGTAGGAAAGCTGTTAAAATGAGGCAAGAAATCCTGATTTCAAAAGCATACAGAAATTATATGTGTGTATATAAGTGTATAAGTGTATTAGCAATGCCTGCAGGCATTTTGGGAGCAACACCTACTAGTGCATGGTGGCTATTCCCAGCTGGTTGGTGGGAGGGGTGTCACCCCTGGCAGTGCTGGGGGAACCTGTGACATGAAGGATCAAAATGAGCCTCTTGTGCTCAAGCCCTTTGAGCATATCCTGGTATTTAAAAAGACTTTCCCCCAATCTGTGTAAGTAAAACTGTATGTGCTGACTCAAATACATTGGTGCATATATACATATATGTATATATATATATAAAATAGCTAAAAGCATTTTTTTCCTAATCTGTGGAACTAAAAATATAAGTCAATGTATATTTTGCATATAGTTCACTACACGTTTTACATGTTAAAGAAAGAGGCAGTTTTGTTGTTTGTCAGCAGGAAAGATTTTCTAAGAATTTCTCCTCTTCTCTTGAAAATGAAACTCAGCACTAGAACTCTGGCTCTTGAATGGGGTCCTGGGTTCCCTTCCCAGCACCACAGAATAAGAAAAAGGAAAACCTTTTCTTCTTGTCTGAGAATTGGCATCTTAATTTACAGTAGGAAATAGTGTACAATCACTGTCTCCTGTGTAGATCCATGTATGGTGAGAATGGTAAGGAAGGTCCCCAGGCCTCCTAGTATCACTTGAGAGCCCATTCCCCAAAAGTAAAGTAAGGTAAAGTAAAATAAGTAAAGGCCCTCCGTTGATCATCGATTTGCTCGAGCGGGCCCAGTAACGTCTCCATTGGAGACTTGGTTGTTACTGTGTCTGGCATATCGAATACTCTCGGTAGCTTGCCGGGCTCTCCGAGAGGGGCGGAGGAATCGAACTCGGGTCGGCCATGTTGGCTGCGTGCAAGGCAAACGCCCTACCGCTGTGCTATCGCTCCAGCCCTAAAGAAAAAAAAAAAACATAGCCAAGATCAAATAATCGTCTGTAATAGGTCAATAATGATTAGGTCATTAATAGGTCAATCATAGCTCAATAAATGGTTTCTCATTTCAGAACGGGGAAAGGTGAATGAGACGGTAATAATTCTGCTACTGTAGTCTAAAAGCAAGTAATTCGTGTAGTTACAGACATTCAGTTATTATACCCAATTCTTTATTGTGGAAGATTAAAGAACAAAAAATTCTTACCCTAGTCAAATAAGAAACATACTGCCCAACTCTATTGTATACTAGATTCTGAGATTGTAATAAATAAATCCCCTTCTCTGAAAGGTCAATCACAGGATGTAAGAAGTCATGTCAGGGAACAGTAACTATCAGGGAAATTCAGAAGAGGGAAAGATTAATTTCATCATAAAAGTCTGGAACCATCCCTAAAGAAAATGTGGATGCCAGTGCACAAACTTGAAAAACAGATGAAATTTTCATTTCATTTTAAGTGTTATTTACTGCAAAAAAGTGAAACAAATGGGGGTGGGGATCATAATCTGAAAAGTGAAAGTACTTCTCTGAGTCACTCTGGAGTTTCTTAAACAGTCTTCAAAATAGGTTATTTGAAGAAAAATAAACAAAAGCTAGGCTATTTGGAAATGAGGCCTTTGGGAAATAATATTGGTTTACTGAGGTCATGAGGAGAATGGATGGTCCCCAAGACAGGGCAGAGTCCAAGCCCACTTTCTCTCCACTATCTAATTACAGAGAGAGAAAATAGTCATTTGCAAGACAGGAAGAGGGTCTCCACTAGAAAGCAAATCTCTAGCTCTAAGATCTGGTCCCAGGCAACCTCTTTCTTCTACACTTCATGCTTTTTGCATTTCTACATGCAAAAAGATTGAACTATAGAATACTTCTACATTTTGTTGTCTGCATATTTGTGTAACAGTTCCTGCAGGATAAATTCTTAGGAAACTTAAGACACTTTATTCATTTCCAAAGGGAAACTGCGAAACTGAAAAACTGACTTCCTAATGTAACAGGCAGTGCTCATACAGCCCACTAGGCCTCAGGGATACCGTTTCCAAGTGAGTAAGATTTCTAAGACAGGACTGGAAGGGTTGCATCCTGTTTCAAAATAGGCCTGCTCTACAAAGAGGGAATCTGGGTGTCTAGAGTGCCAGCTATAAGGAGCAGTGAGGTATGCATCCATAGGATTGCCTATGAAGATTCTCAGCAAACTAGTAGAACAGACTTTTGTTTAACCAGCAGTAAGGAGCTACTGAAGATTTCCAAGCAAGGAAACAACATCAGAAGGCTTCTGCTTAAAGGTCATGCCCTGCCACAGAGGCGGGGTGGTGGGGGATGAGGTGGGGTTGGTGGGAGGGATGCTGAGTCCATTGGTGTTGGAAAATGGGCACTGGTGGAGGGATGGGTACTTGACCATTGTATGACTGAAATGCAAGCACAAAAGTTTGTAAGTCTGTAACTGTATCTCAGTGATTCACTAATAAAAAAAATTAATAATAATAAAAAAAGGCTACTGCTTTATCCTGAGTGATGTGGCAGCCAGCAGCAGGATGGATAGAAGGGGTGGAAGAAGCTGGAGATGGACCAGCCTTACGACTGTTTTTGTAGGGTGAAAAGAAAAAGAGGAGATGGAAACTGGGGTAGCAGAATCCTTCAGCTTGAATACTGGGCCAGAGGAAAATCACCTAAAAACATCCCCAAAATTGAGGAGTTCTATAGCACCATTAATAGCATCAGACATCTGCTTGGACGTGCGTGCTCTAGGTGAGGCTGGAGCAAAACCACCGTCCAATGAACAACCTAGCAGGCAAGTAGCTGTCAGGAGCCCGGCGAGCTGCAGACACGAAGGAGGCCTGTTTATAAAACAACTTCTGCAAGTGTGACTGCAGCCTCGGTGAGGAAAGGCCTGTCCAAGAACGGGCTGAGCGCACCACGTGGGTAAGGGCAGAAGCCCCGTATTTCTGGAACACGTCCCGTCCCATAACCTTCCTATCCAGGACTCCGCTTCTGACCCACACGGCACAGAACCTGCTGCCGGTTTTCTCAACTCCCCCAAGGACGGCGCGTAAACACCACCGTTCTGGGAGCACTGATACTCTTGGCATCCTCCTGGATGCCTTGGGATATCCAGAATAGCTCTGTGCACCCAAGGGGGTTGGATGACCGCGGAGGAGAGGGAGGCAGACAGCAAGCCAGCGGGAGCGTCAGGCCAAGAATATCGGCTACATTCATCCTCTGAATTACAAGCCGACCGCCCTCCCGACCACCCCACCCTCACCCACGACCGTGCCACAAGCCAACCACACACAATGTGGCCGGGATCAGCACTCACACACAGCAAATGACACCAACAGCAGCCGGCCGCAAGTGTGTGCGAACTCCCGGACTCCAGGCCGCCCCGGACCGCGGCGGCCGCCACCCTCCACCCTCGGGCCGGGCCAGAGCGACCACCCGCTGGGCTCACGTACCCGGCGCCGACTCCCCGGTCCCCAAGTCCTCGCCTGGCCCTGCCAGGACCCCGTCGCGGGGCGGAGGCTCAGAGACATTCATATCCCTCCCGCTAGGAACAGGGAAGCAGCAGTTGGATGGAAGGACGGACGCAGGAAGTCAGGACCCGAGGCCTCCAGCGTCCGCCGGACTTCGGCGCCCGCCGCACCCGGACGTGACGCCCCGGAAACGTGCGCGGCCCGGGCACGTGATCGGGGGTGGGTGGGTGCGCAGGTCTCCGCATTTGGACCCTTTTCCCCCTGCCCCACCCCTCGCCCCGCCGGTCGGTCCCGGCCAGGGCGCGGCCTCTGGAGAGGCGGCTGTGCGGAGCTCACGGGACTCCCCAGGCGCGCGGGGAAGCCTTGGGGTGACCGGAGCGGGCAGCTGCGGGAACCGAGTTGTCAGTCGCTATTCACTAAGCCCAGGCCCTGCTTTTTCAAGCTTGTGTCCCAAGGTAACGCCTTAGGAACAAGGGCTGCGCGCTTTCCGTGCTCTTTGAGCGTTTGAAAAACAAACAAACAAAAAACCATGGGGCTAGAGTGATAGCACAGCGGGTAGGGCGTTTGCCTTGCACGTGGCCGACCTGGGTTCAATCCCCGGCATCCCGTATGGTCCCCCAAGCACCGCCAGGAGTAATTCCTGAGTGCAGAGCCAGGAGTGACCCAAAAAGAGCCAGGAGTGCACTGCTGGGTGTGACCCAAAAAGAAAAAAAAATCGTTTGTGGAGGGTTTGGTGTTGGAACGTTGTATGCATGGAACTCATTCACAATATTGTAAATGCATCAATAAAAAAAAAATGGGACAGGGGTGGATGGGGGGGACGGGGGATTCACTGTTTAGCTCTCTCTAGGTTTCAGCCTAGGGTTTGCTGCCAGGACTCAAGATTCCGGTTCTCCCCAGGTTAACTGTATATGCATAATTTTTAAGTCCTGGGAAACCGCATCTACTTTGTAAGTTCAGTCCAGTTAATAGGAAGTGCCCATGAAGACATCTGTGGGATGAATTACTTTCATGCGAAACGCTTAGAAATGGGTAGAGGCCGCCTCAAACCAAATAAAATGAATTATGCATCCCCCACCCTTTGAACTGTTCTTCTTGCTTAACTAAACTAGTGATTGAATTCCTTATGTTGCTATTCCCAAAATGCCTTACCAAAAATTCTCTGTGCTGCAGCAAAAGCTGTGTTTGTTTGGGGTCCCACCCAGCAGTGCTCAGGACTCCAAGCTCTGCTCTCAGAGATTACTCCTGGAGGGGCCCAGGGGACCACAAGGGGTGTGGGTAATCAAACCCAGCTCAGCTGCCTGCAAGGCAAGTACCTACAGCCCCCCATGCTGTCTTTTTTTAATTTCTTGGTTTTACTCAGGGATTACTTTTGGCTCTGCGCTTAGTTATCACTCCTAGTATTTTTAGGATCCATATGGAGTGCCACAGCGGTAGGGTGTTCGCCTTACAAGCAGCCAACATGGCCAACCCAAGTTCGATTCCTCTGCCCCTCTCGGAGAGCCCGGCAAGCTACCGAGAGTATTCGATATGCCAAACACAGTAACAACAAAGTCTCCAATGGAGACATTACTGGGCCCGCTCGAGCAAATCGACGATCAATGGGAGGGCCTTTACCTTTACCATGGAGTGCCAGGATCCAGCCCTAGTTGACCCAATGCAAGGCAAGCGCCCTACCCGCTGTACCCGCTCTGGCTCTGACTTTTTTTTTTTTGGATCACACCAGCAATGCTCAGGGGTTACTCCTGGCTTTGCACTCAGAAATTACTCCAGGCAGTGCTTGGGGTACCATATGGGATGCCAGGGATCAAACCCACATCGACCACGTGCAAGGCAAACACCCTACTTGCTGTACTATGGCTCCAGCCCCTGACTTTTTTTTTTTTAGTAGAATCTACATCATGCCACAGAAACTAACACCTGTCCACATACCTCCTCTTCTATTTGGGCATTTTCCTCAGACCTTCTCAGTACAGGAATGGAGGCCAAGTCTCATTCTTGCCAAGCATGCACTAAACTTACCACTGAGCCCATCCCAGGCCCTTCAGCTGAGAGTTAACTTTTCTTCCTGCCAGTTAAAAATCCTGGGTCAGAGGTTCCGGCATGTGGTGCCCAGCAACCGTGTATGGTCCCCTGAGGACCACTAGGGGTCACTTCTGAGCACACTGGGACATTTAAGAAGAACCCTGCAAAACCAATGTTGCAAAAGCATGGTGTGGTGCCTGCCTTCCAATTCTCAGATCTCCCTACCTGCCTGTCCTGCAACCCAATTTGGGATATGTAAATTTCTTTTTTTTTTTTACTTTGTAGAGTTCCCTCTCTCTTTTCTCGCTTCCATTTCCTAAGTAAAATACTTTCCTTCACTCTGTCTTCTAAAATTCATTTTGGCAAAAACAGAAAAGGAGCTAGGGAGATCTGAGTAGAAGTCAGGACTTGAGTGTTCACACCCTGCAGGGGTAAGTGCAGAGGTACCGGTCCTGACACTGTGCCTCACTTACTCACGAGGGAGGCCAGTAGCTCCACTGTGGCTTCCACACCCCCACTCTCCAGCTCACCAGGCTGCCTCAAGCAATAAAGGAATTCACTTCTAGACTGGAACTCATCTCTGCCAACATGTTAATTTGATCCTAATGAGACCTGTACTGGACTTATGACCTACTGGACTATAAGATAATAAATGTTTATTGCTGGAAGTGTGTGGCAATACAGGGTTTATTACCACAGTAATAGAAAAATAATGCACTATCTGTAAAACATCCTTTATTTCATCCAAGCATAGTACTAAAACTATATTCTTTCATTCTGACAGGACTCTTGCTCATGCTTAAGGTGGGAATATGCTATAGTCTATTATTTTCAAAATTCTACTTTTTTTAATGTAGGAGATTGCTATTTATTCATCCATTGATTAGGCTGATTGAATTGGGCTTGAACTCCACCTTTTTTTCCTTTTTTATAAATTTATTTATTGAATCACCATGAGAGCAGTTACAAAGCTTTTGGTTTTAAGTCTTGGTCATACAATGATGAAACACCTATCCCTTCACCAGTGCCAATCTTTCACCACCAAAAACCCTAGTATACCCCCCATCCCAAAACCTCCCCCTACCTGAGGGGCAGATGATTTCCACATTTCTCTCTCTCTCTCTCTACTTTGATTACATTCAATATTTTGACACCAGACCCAACATTATTATTGGGATTTTACCCCAACACTCAGATTGGCCGAAAAGCCAACATTAGACAATTTGTTTTCTATTGCTGATTATGAATAACATATGATGTCATGTGGCCACAATAGTGGCCACGTGATTTTGGAATTCCGAAATTTTAACAATTAAATCTGGAGGGATTTCTGCCAAAACCTGCTGAGTTCTGAGATTTGTTCCTGAGTCTCTGGGATCATGGCCATTAAGCAGCTTCATCAGGAGCCAGAGAGGCCGTTTGTGGGTGGCGAATCGGGGTCTTGTTGGGACAGGGAGGAAAGCCGGCTCCACCCCCATCCCTTGAGGCCCCGTGTGTCTCGTCACTGTGGGTCCAAACCTGACTGTCCAATGGCCTCTGGAGGATGGCAGCCACTGAGCCACCAAGGGGGAGCAGGTGGAGGGACAGCACACTTCCCCCCTGGGGTGGCCTCGCACTGATAACCTACTGCGGGGACCAGACACATTTCTGCCAAAAGTCACTGGGTTCCGAGACTTGTTTCTGAGTCTCTGGGATCATGGCCATTAAGCAACTTGATCAGAAACCAGAGAGGCCTTGCCTACAATTATATAGCTGAGCCGGAGGTGGTTTGTGGGTGTGTCTCCCACATACCTAACTTTTGGCTGTTTACTGTTTTGGTAAACTTGACCCCAAGTTGCTGGGGTCTGGCCAAAGGCACAGCAGCAATTTGGGAATATGTAGAAGTTTGAAGGCACCATCAGGCTGCTGATACACTTTCCTCACAGGTACAGATTGACCTGCTGGCAGCACCATACCCCATCAAAATGCTACTTTATCTTTCAAGGCTTAGCCTAAGTAATACATGACTTAAAGCCAGTAATGACTCTGATACTTTGGAGTAATTCTGGAGTTGCCAACATCTGAGTTTTTTTTTGTTTTTGTTTTCCTTGGAGAGGGAATGGAACACACAACTGTGCTCAGGGACTACTCCTGCCTCTTTACTCAGGATGACTCCTGGCAAGACATGGAGGACCATATGGGGTCTCAGGAATCAAACTGAGGTCAATCATGTGCAAGGCAAGAGCCCTATCTGCTGTACTATCCAGCCCCCACATCAGAGTCTGTGATGCATAATTTCTGGTCACTGGCGCCACAGATGGTCCCTGAAGCACTACCAGGAGAGACCCCTGAGCACAGAACCAGGAGGAACAGCCTAAGTACTGCCAAGTGAAGCCCTAAATTAAAAATAAAAGCTAATTGAATTTAATAGATAAAATTAAACTGTCATACACTGCTTACTTTATCATCTTTTTTCTTTAAAGAGTTACTTGTTGTAAATTTGAAGAATATTCTTTTTCAGCATTTACACTTCAATGTTAGATCCAGGCTGGAGAGATAGCACTTGCCTTGCATGAGCCTGACCCAGGGTCAATCCCCAGTATCCTATCTGGTGTCCTGAGCCAACTGGGAATGATCCATGAGGCAGTCAGGAGTAAGCCCAAGTACTAACTGGGTGTGACCCAAAAGGGAAATAAATAGAAAAACTTTGTTAGAAAACTGAATCAACTAAATACAAAGAGGACTTTCTGTCAGACCACTTTGCTTTCCTTCCCCTCCCCTTCTGTACCCTAGATTTCAGCTCAATGCATCAAGCACTTGTGAAAGGCCCAATGTATCTTTTTTTTTTTTAATTTTTATTAGTGAGACACCATGACGTACAGTTGTAGACTTACAAATTTTTGTGCTTGGGTTTCAATTATACAATGATAAAATATCCATCCCTCCACCAGTGCCCATTTCCCACCACCACCATGGATCCCAGTATCCCTTCCACCCCCCATCCCCCCCCATCCCACCCTGCCTCTGTGGCAGGGCATTCAAAGGCCAACGTATCTTAACTGTCCACTAAGCATGGAGCTGAGTAACCATGTGGTTAACTAGAGGTCAGAAATGAAAATTGGGAATTCGATGCCCAGAAGTAAATACAAGAAAGTCTGTTGATCTACATCTGTCCTTAAAAATGGTCCT